TTCATCTCATCATCCATGGCATTGCACCACCTCTCCTTTTCTTCACTCCCAATATTTTCCTCAAAATTGAATAGAATCTCATCAGTGATAATAGGATGAGTAAAAGAACCATAGTCACTATACCGAGCTGGCTTAATAATTTGTCTCTTTCCTCTGTTCTTGGCAATAAACTCTTGAGGTGAAACTTCCTCTTCAACTTGAATAGAATCTTCAAGTTCAACTTCTTCAACATCCTCATGGTCTCCAACTTCTTCACTTGTAGTAGCTTCGACATCAGCAGAAATAGGACTTGAAATACGAGAGGCAACTTTCTCAAGCTCCACCTGTTAGACATCTTTCACATTCTTCTTAGAGTCTTTGTACATACTTTCTTCATCAAATGTCACATCTCTGCTAATTACAAGTTTCTTCATCTCTAGGCACCACAATCTATAACCTTTGACACCACTACTAAAACCAAGAAAGATAGCATTTTTGGCTCTAGGATCAAGTTTATTTTCAATCACATGAAGATAAGCAGGTGAACCAAAAATACGGATATAGTCATAATCAGAAGAAGGGTTTCCATTCCATACCTTCATTGGTGTCTTACCCTGAACAGCAACTGAGGGTAACCGGTTGATGATGTGACATGCATAATTAATTGCCTCTGCCCAAAATGACTTGCTCAAACACGACTGAGACAACATGCATCTAACCTTCTCAAGCAAGCTTTGATTCAATCTTTCTGCAACTTCATTTTGTTGTGGAGTTCCCCGGACACTAAAATGTCTCACAATCCCTTCCTCTTTGCAAACTTTAAAAAAAGGGTCGGATGTGTATTCTCCACCATTATCCGATCGCAAAATTTTAATCTTTCTCCCAGTTTGGTTCTCAACCAATTTCTTCCAACTCAAGAAAATGCTCAATACCTCACTCTTATGCTTCATAGTGTAGACCCAAGACCTTCTTGAATAATCATCAACAAAGGTCACGAACCAATGTCTACAATTCAAAGAGGGAGTCTTTGTAGGACCCCAAACATCCAAATGCACATAATCAAGAATGCTCTTCGTCTAATGTATTGCAGTACCAAACTTCATGCTAGTTTGCTTTCCCAAGACACAATACTCGCAGAAATCAAGCTTACAAATCGTGGCACCTTTTAGAAGATCTTTTTTCACAAGCCCTTGTAGAGCTTTCTCACTGGCATGGCCTAATCTCATATGCCACAATCTAATAGTATCTGAATCAGATGTGCCCATATTTTTTTAGACTACAAACACTTCACCTGTCACGATGCTTCCTTGCAATAGATTCAAATGACCACATCGAGGAGCTTTCATCACAACAAGTGCACCATAAGTAACTTTCAATGTCTGCCCATCTAAATGAAACCTAAAGCCCTTGGATTCTAAAGTGCCCAAAGAAATAAGATTTTTCTTCAAATTCTGTACATACTGAACACCTGTCAACTCTTTAACCATGCCATCATGCAACTTTAAATGAACTGTACCAATCCCTTTTGTTGTACAAGGATTGTCATCTCCCTTGAAAACAACACCACCATCAAAGTCTTTCAAGCTTGAAAACCAATCCTTGTGATGAGTCATATGATGAGTACAACCCGTATCCAACACCCATTTAGTAGCACAATCAAATGATGAGGAAGTGATTAAAGCAAAATCAAAAAATTTGTTTCAACCTCAGCAACATTGGCTTCATCTTTCTTCCAATGACCCTTATTATGACAAAAGGCACATTCATACATTTCCAAGGTTTTTCTACCTTTAGAGTTTCCTCTAGGTCGAGAGTATGATTTTTTCTTACTAGAAGAGGACCTCCTCTCCGATGATCTACCTTTAACAAATAAAGCTTCAAAGGTACTATCATGATTTTTATCTCTATACCTCATTTCATAATTCATCAAGGCATTTGACACATCTTCAAATTTCATAGTTTCTTTACCATGCATAATAGTGGTAACAAAATGCTCATAAGAGTCCGGCAAGGAACTCAACAATATTAAGGTCTTATCTTCATCTTTAATATCCTCATCTAAATTTAACAAGTCGGAAATCAACTAATTAAAAGCATCAAGGCGTCTAATCATTTTTGTACCTTTTTTGTATTGGAAGCGGTAGAGCTTTTTCTTCAAGTGTAGCTGGTTCTCTGCACTCTTCGTCATATACTTGTCTTCCAATTTTTGCCACAACACACTTGCTACTGTCTCCCGCATCACAAAATACTTCTGAGTTTTTGCAAGGCATAACCGAATTGAAGAGCAAGCCCACAAATTTAATTTCTCCCATTCCGACTTCGACATAGCTTCCAGCTTCTCTCCTAGAGCGGCAAGTAGATCTTGTTGAGCCAACACATCTTTGACCTCAAATTGCCACATCCCATTGTTTGTGCCATCAAACTTTTCCACTTCGAACTTTGCATTTTGCACCGTAGTTCTTGCAAACCTGGAGCTACTTCCAAAAGGATTCTCATCTTGTCCGTCTGACATCTTTGGCAACTAGACAGTACCCAAGAGCAGCCAGTGTTCTGATATCAATTGTTGTGCTAGGATAGCACCAAACCCGTTGGAACCAACTCAAGCTAACCCACAGGAAATATATCAAATGGAATGCAAAAACAAAATATAAAGGACACCAAGATTTTAACGAGGTTCCTCAACAGTCAGTGTAACTGGAGTACGTCCTCGGAGTAGTAGGAGCTCACCCAATAATCCACTATCAACCAAATGAGAGTTTACAAAGTGTTGGCAAGCTCACAACCCAAAACCCCAATACAACCACTAGCTCTCACACACCAAAGAAACAAATAGAGAAAGAAATATTGTGAATAATTTCTTCTCTATACAAAGCTCAAAGCTATTACAATAACAACTACCTTGGTGGGTGATTACTAACCAAAGAGAAGAGCTCCTTCTTCTTCTCTTCAAAGAGGGGCTGCTGCACTTCTATTTTTTCTGCTATGTTTTTCTGGTGCACTCTACAACTACCTTCAGAAATGCTTTCTATTTTCTGCACCTTTTACAACTCTCCTTCCGTTTCTCTCATTTCCAAAAATGCAACAAGTGGGGGGACAAAAGCTGAATTTTCTACCTTTGAAAAAGCCAAAGCAAAAGAAAACATAATCATTTGTCTCCTCATAATGAAGTTCCCACATCATTATGTCCATCATTTTTATTATATGCTTTTGACCACTTGGCCACTAATTCAACAACACATTGGAGAGGGAAGATGCAGCAAGATAAGCCATGGTGAGTGAAGAAATTTTCGTTGCACTGGGAGAGGGTGATACCATGAAAGAATTGTGCTCGATGGGTGAGTAGTCATTGTATTTCACTATATATATAGAACGGGTGACGAACAAACTCTTCAAAACTAAAAAAATTATGAACATAATTTTGAGAAAGCTACATTTAAAATCGAACAACATTTGACAGTTTCAGCATCCCAAAGGATTGTACTGTTGATAAAGTTGTGGCAAGTGTTGAGGTGAGGATATCACTTAAGTCATTTGCGGCTGCGTTTGCATAGATGTGGTGGGATATATAATATTCAGATTTGGTTTACCATGGGCAGCCTGTAATGCATTATGTTTTGAGGAATCGTCTCGTCATGTTTCTTTTATTGTTCATGATATTAAGTTACAGCTGATTGAGATTGATTCTTTGAGCATAGCTACCATGCGAAAACTCCATGTCTGATCTTTGTCTCCTTCGTGCCATGGGAGTTAAGGTCGTCCAGCTAAGGCTCCTCATATTTATGAGGTTCTGTGGTTGCCTCCTCCTGTATCTTGGATTAATTTTACCATAGATGGCACGGCTCTTGGTGCCCTTGGTTTGGTGGGAAGTGGGGGTGTTTTTGGAGACCAATTTGGCAACGGTTTACACTGTTTTGCATCTTCAAAAGACATGCTTATTCTTTAGAACGAGAGTTTCATGCAGTTATTTAAGCCATGGATTAATCTTGGGCAAAAGGTTGAAATTTTTTGTCAATTGAATGTGATTCTTTTTTAGTGGTCCTTTATCTTTCTTTGCTTCTGGCAAGATTTCCTGGCATCCGTGTGTTCCTTGGATTAATTGCCTTGTTTTTTCTCTCCCAAATGCACGTTTATGTCACTCATATTTTTGGACATGGTTATGCAGTTGTTCACAGTTTTGGCTAATTTCGGTGTGGATCATTCTGGGAATTTATATTTGGATTCTTGCCCCCCTTGTCCAACTTTTGCTTACATTTGTAACTTTTCTTCATGACCTAATTTTAGGTTTTGCTTGTATGGTCCTTGATATTTTGTTTCCTTTGTGTCGAGTGAAAGAGGTTTGGTTTCCTTTTTCTTTTCTTTCACTGATTTTAGCTTGATGCTTGTCAGCTTTTCTCTACATGTACTTTATTGTTATGAACTCTTAGATTGTACTGGCTCAATGAGCTCTATTTTTCTGCCAAAAAAACAAGGGGTGTGATATCCACAAATCCCATTTTACTTCTCACACACTTTTTTAATTTTCGGCCGTCGGATCGGATGAATTGAAGAAGATCAACAGATAGAAATTATCAAGGGTGTGTGAGAAATAAAATAGGATGCGTGGATAGCACATCCCAAAAACAATTACTATTGCTTTTGCTTTATAATTTATTAAAGGGAAGTGGCATGTCATGCTTGAAGAAAAGAACTCCTCTGCCTTTCAAAAGATAACAATTCAGGAAAAAAAAAAAAGTTATAACAGTAAAAGAAAACAAAAATTCTCCTTATAATGGATCAAAAGAAAAAACCAAAAGAGATATGATGGATGAAAAATCCCAGGTAAGTGCCTTTAAGTTTCTGGTAAACAAATAGCTAAGCCAGATGGAAATATGGACAAGAAAATTGGGTGGTATCCTTAATGGATAACAAATCAAAGTGCCACACAGAGGAAACGAATAAAAGAATAAAATACAACAAAGCAAGAGCTAGTCGCAATACAAATGCTCTGCGAATTATGTAGCCTGGATCCCTATCGACTATGATCACTTGCACCGTAAACTTTTGAGGGTCTTTGATGACAGATCAAATGCAATTGTACAATCCATGGTGGAGGACTTCTTCTTCTTCATTATAAGCATCAGTTCCACCTTTCCATTCAACTTAGCCGCGCTGTTGAGAGTCAATACGCCACTGGACAGTTCACTCCCAAGATTGGAACCGCCTAATGCACTTGAACTCAAGCTCACTTCGACAGTGATCTTTTTGGTGGAAAGCATGCCAGCCTTGCTCTTTGGAATAGAAACTTGCCCGACAGTCGCTCCTTTGTACAAAAACGTAACACTGCTAGCATCGAACTTGTAAGGACCCCAATTTGTGTTCTTCACATTGATTTGGGTTGTGAATTTTGTGTCGAATGAAGGTGTTGCTGGGATGGAGTTGAGTTCTTGTACGTTGATGTTCCCCAGCCGGACCTTTGGCGTTTTAACTTTCATGACAGTAAGGCTAATCACGGTTATGACGATGATCTGAAACACAATGAAAATAGCAACATAAATGGCCAATTTGATTCTCTTCTTGCGTTTGAGCTCGTCGGCGGATAACAAAGACTCAGCATCACTTCTTTGGTAACCATGGTTTGCTGGTGCTGCAGGATAAGCCTGTTGGGTCTTCTCAGCCATCTTAATTTCTTTTGCTGCAGTTAGAGCTTCGTAAGAAAAAGTTCTCTGTTTTTCTTTCGTAAAATATGAACTGATGAGCGGGTGTGTTTGTTGTTTGATTGTGTGAATGTTGATTGAGTGTGGGGTGGTATATATAGTGTGTGGAAAATTTGGTTAACGAGTTAACTAGAGGAATAAAAACACGGACATAGTTAGGCTGTAGTTCATTGACTCTACTAGAAGGTTGAACATAAAGATGTGAAAATGCTTGTAGGAAACGAAATATAGAATAATAGAAAGCTTTGAGGGCTTTAAAAACTTCGCCTACCACACAAAGTCATAAAAATATGAAAACGCGCATAGCACATACATAAAGACTTTGCGAGCTATGTCACATACATAAACGACTTTGTCCATTGTCCTACACCATCTACATCAACATCATATTTTGGACCGTCTAGAAGATTTCAAGTAAAAAACTCTAACTTTATGCACGTTTAGCAGCATAATTGTATTTTGAGGAAACCTATTGCTCGTTTGATAACTATTTTGTTTTAAGTTTTTTTTTTTTTTAGTGATGGTGGATAAATAAATTGGAGAGTAAGGGATAGAGAAATTTTATTTGAACCCATGTAACCTCTTTCTGCACTCAACTTACTCTCTTCACCCATATTGTTTTTTTCTTAAAGAATTAATCTCTCTTCAAACTCAAATTTATTACCTAAATTACCATCTCAAACTCAATTCAAAATGTTAAGTTATCTTTGACACTCATTTTCTTTATAAAATAACATATGTAATTGATTTTTTTTTTTTAAAGAGGCGTCCTTGCCTCACCCCCTCTTCCCACTAGCATTTCCATGGCTACTTATTTCTTTCTGCTACCAAACCCAAACATTTGTCTTTTTTTCTTTCTACTAATGTGCATAAGCAACAAATCGAACAATTCATCCCCTTATATTTATCAACGCGCAAGGAAGTTTATAATCTAAGAACATTGGTAAGAAGTTTTTCCGTAGAATTTTTCAATTGCAGAAAATTTAACAAACAATTCGGGATTGATGAAAAAAATTGAAACCCAAATACTCATCTTCTAAACTTTAGAAAAATTAAAATCAAACGAACAAAATATTCATAAATTGAGTCATACCTTAGTTGGAGGATTCAAAACTTCAAAATCACCATCCATCAACAAAAAAAAAAAAAAAAAGCTTGTTTTTCTCTACAAGACCTATTAGGGTTTAATGAGTTTATTGATAATTTTGAGTTTTATTATTAATTTCATTTTGTACTTAATAGTAATTATGCAATAGGGTAAAATAGATAATTAACAATTTAAATTTAAGTTGGGTGTAGAAAGAGGTTACATGAGTTCAAATAAAATTTCCCTAAAGGATATCTAAGAGGTGCAGGAGAGATGGTGGGAGATATGCAAATAAAATGTATAAAGAAATGTATACAAAAAAAAGTAAAAAATAAACAAAATAAAAATTATTTTGTTGCAGTCCTAATTTAGTTAAGGATGTGATTGTGTAAATCTTTATGGGATTCTATAGTATTTTGCAGATAGTGTCCTAATTAAGATGTATGACTTGAAAGGCAAGGATAAAGGCACAAAGGGTGAGAAAATACACACCTGAAAATTTACCAATTCTCTTCTCTCTCTTATCGTTGCACCTCTCTCCTTTTATAATTCTTTTGTTAAATAGGCCTACAACATGTTATTAGTACGCTCCCTCTGCGGCTAAGTAACTGAAGGTTCGTGGAGGAGGTTCTTCTACAACTAGCACTCAAGGGCTTTCTTTCGTTTCTATCAAATCATGTTTTTCTAAAACACGAAATCGATATTTTATAAGTCCCTGATAGCATGAAAACATTCACCATTATGCATTCACACGCAATTAATATGTTCATATTTTGAATATGCAAATTGTGTTATATTATGCTACATTGCTATGTTAATTTGGTTGCTATTGCAATTTAATTTTTTTAATTTTTAGTGACAGTGCACAAATAGATTGGAGAATGAGGGATATCTAAGAGTGCAGGAGAAACGGTAGGAGAGTTGTAGATAAAATATCTAAACAAAAGTATACAAACAAAATATATATATACTTTAAGTCGTTCCACTTCTAAGATTTTGCTCTATTCGGTCTTATTTAAAACAGTGAAGAAGAGTCACATAACAGCGATTAATGAAAGTCGTGTTTCATAAATACAATGAAGAATGAGGGAAATATAAGGATCTCCTACCACCAATATCACTGTCCAACTTAATCACCTATTATTAAGTGTAGATTGTATAATAAAAGGTCTCAGAGAAATTAGAAGGGACTCTTCCACATATATTGTATATTATTTTGTTATCTCCCTAATTAGACTCTATTCTTCAACACACTCCCTTACGAGTGACCATACAAAAAGGTCACTCAAAAAACCAATTCCCCATCGGTAGTGGTGCAAGTTGGAATGGTGTTTTCAATTCCAATAGTAAATATTTTTCATCCAAACCCAAACATTTCAAATCCGAATAATTTACGAAAGATTGGAACAAAACCCAATCCCCCTTCAACTATGCAACAACGAAGGGATGACAAGGACTTTTAACCATACATTCCAGCACTCTTCATAGGCCTCTGTCCATGAGTGTTCATAGTTGTTAACCACAGTTTCAATCTCCAGCTTGGTTACCAAGTTGAGATTGAGGAGAGTATTAACAAATGTGTGGTGGATATTAGCTAATAATTGAACAATGAAGATTGGTCAAGCTGGTGAAAACTACTATAAGAGTTTGTCAGAAGGTTGTGTTGGTATATGGTCCAGCCCATGATCAATGTTCTAGATTATTCTATTAAGCAAGTGAGGTGGCTGGAGCATGCTAGACAATTCTAGCATGTTATTAAGTTGATGGAAGAAGCTATAGAGTACTAGCTTCCTTGGTTGCAAATGGAAAGATCTAGAAGCTACAATGTTGTAGCTAGTCTAGAATTATCTATGCTAGAGGTTTGAAGAATACACTAGAAACTAGTAGAATGCCAAACCCTCACCTATAAATATGGGTGTGATGTTGTAGTGAAGTAACCAATTAAGAACCAAGTGTGAATAGCAAAGGATCAAGTCCAAAGCTAGAGTTCCACTCCAAGAGTGAGAGTGAAAGTGTTCCACTACACATTGTGAGTGAAGTTTAGAGTGATAGAAAATGTGTGTCATACTTTCTTGTATCCATTAAGCCTTGTCTTTGGCTTAGTAGGACTACTCTTGTTGTACTCATCTTTTTCATATAGTGAATATTGATCCTTGTTTCGTGGACGTAGGCATAAATTACCAAACCACATAAATTCTTGGTGTCCATTTTCTACTTTACCTTGTGCATTCTCTATCTTGTAGTACTAACATTCCTAATAAGTGGTATCAGAGCCAGGTTGGCTCGTACTACGAGATGGAAGGAAGTGGCACTATGATCAAACTCACCAACTACGATTAGGTAACATGGAAGCCAAGGATGGAAGACATTCTGTATTGCAAGGATCTGCATGAACCAATTGAAGGAGATGCCGCTAAGCCCGAAAGCATGTCTGATGCCTAGTGGAAAAAGATGAATCGCAAGGCTATTGGCACAATTAGACAATGGGTGGACGATAGTGTTTTTCACCATGTGTCTAATGAAACCAATGCCTGCGAGTTTTGGACGAAGCTTGAGTCCTTGTTCGAGAAGAAGACCCCAGCTAAGAAAGTCTTCTTGATCAAAGAGCTCATCAATGTGAAATACAAAGATGGTTTAAGTGTAGCAGAACACTTAAACAATTTCCAAAATATCATCAACCAGTTGGCTACTATGAAAATGACGATTGAGGACGAGCTACAATCGCTCTTGTTACTTGGATCCTTGCCAAACAGTTGGAAGACCTTTGTGGTGAGTATAAGTAACTCTGCTTCTAATGGTGTTCTTACTCTTGATAATGTTAAAAATAGCATGCTCAATGAAGAAACAAGGAGAAAGACTTATAGCACAGATAACAGCCAAGTATTTGTCATAGAGAACCGCGAAAGAAGCAAGAGTATAGGGCCTAGAGGTCATGGCAGGAGTCCTAGCCGATCCAAGTCAAGGTTCAGCGGTGCATGCCACCATTATGGCAAAGAAGGCCATATGAAGAAAAATTGTCGAGTTTGGAAAAGAGAGCAAAGGGAAGGAAACAATCAGAAGAAAGATGATACTGGCAATACCATCGCTGTCGTATGTGGTGATGTACTAGAAATATTATCTGTTGGTGAATGTCTGCATATGGGAAACTCTGATAGAGACATTGAATGGATCTTTGACAATGGAGCTTCCTTCCATGCTATATCCAAACGGGAGTTCTTTAGTACATACAAAGAAGGTGACTTTTGCATAGTGAAGATGGGGAATGAAAGCTATTCCCAAATTCTTGGAATTGGTGATATTTGCCTAAGAACTAATCTCGGCCGCCAGTTGATGTTGAAAGATGTGAGACATATTCCTGATATACGTCTCAATCTGATATCCATCGATACCCTTGATCGACAAGGATATTATCACCATATTGGCAAAGGAAAATTGAAGCTTACCAAAGGCTTAATGGTGGTAGCAAGAGCATGACTTTGTTGGACGTTGTACAGGTCAAATGCCAAGGTTTTGAAAGGTGAGTTGAATGCTATGGAGGACTCATCTCTAGACTTGTGGCATAATAGGCTAGGCCACATAAGCGAGAAAGGCCTACAAGTTTTGGCAAAGAAGTCTCACATTCCCTTTGCCAAAGGTACGTCATTAAACTCTTGTGAGCATTGTTTATTCGGAAAACAAAGAAGAGTTAGTTTTTTGTGTTCCATCTTCAAAGAAAGGAAATTTGTTAGGTCTTGTTTATTCAGATGTGTGTGGTCCCATGGAAGTCGAGTCACTCAGAAGAAATAAATATTTTGTTACTTATATTGATGATGCTTCACGAAAGGTTTGGGTGTATTTGTTGAAATCCAAAGACCAGGTGTTTCAGACATTCCAGGAG